AGCTGGTGTTCAAACTGGCCGGGTGGCTGCAGGTGTGGATTAAAAAGCCCTTTTACATTTATCTATGAGGTGCTTTTGCCCAAAGCGACGTAGAAGCGAGGAGAGCTTGGGGTGGGGGTGCAGGGTCGGCCGGCGCAGGTCGGGCTGCTGGGGTTCAGGGCCTCGGCTACGAGCACGACAGTCACATGATCATTCCGGCTGCAGGATCTGAGCTCCGCACACAAACACCGGAAGCTGCTGACAAAGACACCCAGCTGTTTACTGCAGCGTTACATCCAACGACGTATCGTTTGTTTCTTTTTTCTTTCCTCCCCCCCTCCCTTTTTCTTTCCGATCCTCGGTCGGCATGGTGACGGGTCCCTGACCTCATCCTACGTGCAGCGAGCGGATTGGCCGCCCCGGACGTGCCGGTTTTTAAAGCTCATGGCCTGAGGGCCTCATGGAGGATGTTGGAGGTTCCCCTCTCGCTTTGTTCAGCGCCGCTGTCGCTGATTAACACTCCGCTGGGCTGCTTGTGGTGTAACGCAGTATGTATACGGAGAGGTGATGCTGTTATCGGTGTGAACATGCTGGTGCCTCACGTGCACCAGGGTGTGTCAGATGCACACTGCGCTCTCAGGATCGGGGGCGGGGGGGGGGTGACTGCCACTTATTTTCAGCTGTTGTGTTTTTTCCTGTTTTTGGTTTATATAGGGAGGCAGGTCAGGTTTTATATTCTCTTGTGTTTTCTGTTTACAGAGCTGCTTGTTTCGTTAGTTATTGGTGCCCTGGTAGAATTTTTACCTGCCGCATGAGACGTCTGTGTTCGAGTCCCAGCCAGGGCACCTTTTTTTGTTTAGTATTTTGGCGCTAGCTCCCCCTCCCTTGTTCTGTACTATTTTGTTTCTTTTTTAAAAAAATGCAGTTTTATTAACCTCAAGCAGCCGGATTGGCTGCGTTTCTCTTTCTACATCCTAATGTGACGCCCTTCGTTAACCCCGAGACGCCCTTGTAATGTCACCGTAACGGGAGACAGCAGGTGGCTTTGGGGTCTGATCCCAGCTCCAGCTGCAGCGTGAGGCTCACTGCTGAAGCCCCTGCTGTTACCTGCTCACATCCCACAGACTGAAGGATCCAGCCTCTCGGGAGCTGCGGAGTCAAGGCAGCGTGAGACGGACTCAGCGGCACGACGGCGAAACGGCAGCAGTCGTTATAACATGGAGCCATTTGCTGTGTGCAGCTCATCTAACGTCACGCTGAACAGGCTGATGGGGTCTAACCTCAGAGAGTGTTGGCTCACCGCTAAAAGGGTTTTAATGAATGTGTGTATAAATCACTGCTTAATAGGCTGCAGGGTCATTAAAGGGGAAAAAACAATCAGGCTGTCAGACAAGCAGGCAGTCTGGCCGAACACCCGAGCCGCCATCATGAATACAGAGTCACTGTCGCAGCCCACGGAGCGTTTTCACCGTCAGAGTCGACTCTCTGAGGCGCGGTTTTCCTGAGCTGATAGGAGGCGCTGATGGGGGGCATAAGGAAGACGATTAACATGAAGCCTGCAGAGGGGGTCACTCAGCAGGCCGGGGAAGGGGTCCCAGTGGGGTGCAGCTCCTGCCACGTGCAGTGGATGATTTCAGGAGCTTTGATAAGCAGGAATAGGAGCAGCAGAGGTGACAGGGGCGATCCCGTCTAGGGGCAGTGATGACAGCGTCTGAGTCCCCTGCTCCAGTGACTCCCACTGAATGGATGTCACTATAACTCTGAGTCCGTCATGAACCAAACTGCAGCTCTACGGCAAAACCGAACGACCGTCACCTTGGTTTGTGACGGCAGAGCTGCTTGGCGGCCTGGGCTTTGGACACCAAGACCCACGTGCGAGTCTCACTGCAGCTGGAGGCGGACGGCCCCGTCTGAGACCACATCTCCCCTGTGGGAGAGGAACTGGCGGCAGCAGTCGTCTTAACTGGGATTTCCACTGGGCACCAGCCAGAGGAACATTGTGTACATCCACCCGCACCAGTGTGTGTCTGAACTGGAAACTGCCAGCTTCACTCAGACCCCATATCAGGGCCACACAGGGAAAGGGGCCCTGGACCCCCGGGGCCGATAGGCGGATCAGCAGGAATCAGCGGCACGCATGTCCAGCTCCTTCAAAGGAGCCCCATGAGGTACGGCTGATGTTAATGCGACTAAACGAGCGACTCGCTCTTCTCCTCCATCTGGACCTGATCCCGAACTGACTGCCTTGTTCCTGTCTGCACCCCCCCCCTCGGATCCCTCCTTAAGGCCCCCCCCCCGCCCCGGCTTTCCAGACCTTGATCCAAAGCTCTGAGGATCTTGCACTTATTGTCTCTGCAAGTGCTCTGTGCCCCGACTCTGACACACTGTGCCAATAACATCACGCCCCACAGACGCAGCTTTACACGCAAACCTGGGGGCGTCAGACTGTGTCAGAACAATGAAAAACAGAGGAATGAATGTCAAGTTAAAGCAGCTGAATGAATCAAAAGTGGGTTCAAACACAGACATTTACAGAATCTGTCTTGCTTTTTAAAACAATGCTGGCTCAGTGCAAACAGACTGATCAAACCAGTTGGAGGGATTCAGTGCAGATTCCCTGCTGAGTTGATTATAACCCACAGGAGAAACACACAGGCCTGCTGAGTTTATCAGCAGTAAAACCTCTCTGTGTCTGTGAGACACGCGATTCCCGGTGCACACTGTGTGTGTAAATCTGTGTGTCAGTATGTGTGTGTGTGAGCATGTGACAGTGATGCTGTCCAGCAGCTGTGATTCACAGAGGAAGAAGAGAACTGACCTAGGATCAGATTCAGAAGAGGAGGCTGATTTCACAGTCAGTGTGACTGAAACTGATTTCACTGTCAGTGATGCTGTCTAACCTCACAGTAACTATCATGTGGGCTGAAGCTGCACTTCTCACAGCCTGATCTCTTCCCAGCAGGGACCAAAAGACATTCTCTGCTCATACTGTCACTGAGCCAGACTGACTATTACTAATTAAACGGTCTGCTAGTAACTATTTACCTACATATCTGTGTGATGGTCATGTGACTAGTGAGGCTGAATGGAGATTGGCTGCTCAGTGCTGCTGACACACTGGACACTGTGCCCCCCTCTGGCCAGAATCCCTCCCCTCCGTGAGCAAAACAAGAGTGTGGGGCTACAGCTGACCAGCAGCTCTAGGTCTGATGTCTAAAGAGCAGTCAGGCGTCCCACAGCCCAGAAGTGCGTCTACACAACAGGCTGAGAACTCCTGTGGACCCAGACTGCCTGACAGCATGCAGTTATATGCAGAGCTGGATAAACCCCTGCAGGAGCCCAGTGCAGCCTCCTGTGCTCACTGGTTGGATGGAGGGTGGGGCTGTGGAGAGCAGCTGAATTCTGGGAAGCAATAAACTCACTGGTCTCACCCATCACTGCAATCTGCTACACGGCCAGAGGGAGAAACTGCACTGAAGCAGCTGAGGTGAAATTGAACAGTATCCACAGCTTCCTCAGAGAATAAATACCCCCCCCCACTCTGTACCTCAGAGCTTAAGTGTCAGTCTGTGAGCACAGTGTGAGTCTATAAGCTCTGTGTATAAAGGACAGAGGCTCCTGATGCCTCCTCAGAATGACCACGTCCTCACAGTGTGTCAATGGCAGGTGATCATGGACTAATCGGAGGCTGTGTGGGGAACACATTTACATTGGGGCAGGTGCTGGGGGAACAAACCACTAAATGGAGCCTTTAAATCAGTGTCGGTCTGACCAGACCCAGAGGGCCCAGATGGCAGGGGTTGCGTATCATGGAGGCCTGGTTTAAACAATTTTGTCCTGAGCCTGAGAATTATTCATGGAGGGCCTGAATCTGAATGCTTTGTGTCAAGCATAAATACATGGAGATTCTCTGTAAGGAGACTCTGTCCTACACAGCAGGGACACTGTGAAGAGATGGTTGGATGTTCCATTGCCATAGAAGTAAAAGCCTGTTATAAAATTATATTTAGTTATATAAATTACATTTTTCTCAGACAGGTTCAAAGCCTTCAGAGTTACAGTATCAGTTCAGTATATAGCAGGTCTGCCTCCTGATGAGAGAGTCAGTGCAACTGCAGCTTTACATTTGCATTATTCAATGACTGAATTTACTGCACAATTTTCCCCACAATAACAAAAAAATTAAGCTAAATTTTAATTTTTGGTCCATTTATGATTTGAGATTTACTAATTTACATGTTTACTGATCGTAAACATGCAGCACTTACCTCCGGTTTGGTTGAAACGCTTCTTTACAATTTCTATGTTGTTTTTGAAATTCTGCTCATGGCCCATAAGGATCTGAGTTTCCCTGTCCCAGTACTCCTGCCCTTCAGATTTTTCAATCCACTCCTTTCGTGGAGTCTCTCTGCGTATGATACTGTCATAGTAAACAAAAGGCTCTTCATCCACCAGCCCAACAGCCACAAACTCTGGGAAGTTCGGTATCCCTGACGTGCCGCTGTAGACATTCCACAGGGAATGGGTCACTGCAAAATGAAGTCACACATCCAGTTGTAGACACTTGATCACAGTACTTGTTTCATTTTGCCAAATTTTCACCCTTTCATTTTTTAAATTTTTATGTTGCAGCTACGCCTGTCACAATTATTAAATAATCACCTGATTGCTTTTATTTTTATGTACTCATTAGAACTGCCTTTTTTCACCTGTACAAAAAAATAAAATACAGAAATGTCTGTCACTATTTCTACATCGTTTTGTGATGTTTGACAGGCGCTAGTTTAATAACTTCATCTGATTGTACTTCTGAACCGACGCATACCACTTACTTCAGTGTGTCCCAACCCAGTCCTCAAGGAACCCCAGACAGTCCATGTTTTTGCTCCCTCTCAACTCCCAGCCAATGAGGAACAACAAATACCTGGTACAGGCACGCTGGGAGCTGAGAGGAAGGAAAAACATGGACTGTCCGGGGTTCCCCAAGGATTGGGAAACACTGCCTTACTCTGTTTGTACCTCGCACTTCTGCGCTTGCGTAATGTGCCCGATTTGTACCAATTCCACACATTCATGACTCAGCCTGATCCCGTTAGTATTTCTTTTCACCACTTCAGGTTCATTTTACACTTGTAAGTGATCTCCACCAGCCCAGAATATCAGCCAAATATTTCAATTTTGGATTCTTTGTGTTCTCCGTTTAATGAAAGTTCGGCATGGCACATGCACTTGTGTCTCATTACGGCAGGATGACTGTATGTTCCTGATGGCTGCCACTATTATGCTGCAGCAAAGTCAGTATATTATGCCAATAGGACAAAAAACTAGAGAAATGTATGTTATTTTGTCCATTTATTTCTGATCCCACTGTTTCGGAGTGATATAAACAGGTGCACATAGGCCTAACTGGTACGCAAACTTCATTCAGCAAAACAATACACGCGGCAATTTCTTGCTGTAGAAGCAGAAATGCGTACGTATTTTATGTGCGTACAGGTACCTATTTTCTACGTATTTGCATATACGGCAAATGCGTGCTTGCGTACCAGTTTTGCACATCCCTGTATATAAATATGGATGAAACACAAAATACTCCTAACTTAATTTTTGAGTTTAGAGTGAACCAAAGCTATAAATTAGAGATGCACCGATTGACCGGCTAGTGATCGGAATCGGCCGATTTTTTGTATGATCGACCCAGATCGGTGACCGGCCGGTCAGTCTCATGTCTGCCGATCCTTTTATTGCGCGCAGGCAATTACGTCACAACTACGCGCACACTCACAGTCTGGTGATAACATGTTGGTGTGGAAGTTCTTTTCTGTGAGTGGAGATGACACAAAGATCGCAGTTTGTAACGTTTGTAAAGCAAAAATACATCGTGGGGGAACAAGCTCAAAAACGTTCGGAACAACAAACCTAATAAGACACTTAAAAAGCTATCATTTAGCTGAATATGCCCAGTTTGAAAAGGGGAAAGTGTATTTAATGTTTAAAAAATTCTTCCATAATAATAGTCATTGAGGAAAAGTAGATATTTGTTAGTAAGTTGTTAGTTATATATTTCTACAATTTCAAGGTGCAGAGCACTTTATTCTGTTGTGAGAAGATCTGTAATGTTTATGGATTTCTTTTATTATAAAAAATTTCATTGGGGAAAAGATTTTTGTTAGTATAACTATACTAATGTTATATACCGGAATTTATTTTATACCTCACAACACACTTTATTTTATATTTTTATTTTGTTGTGAGAAGATCCTGTAATGTTTAATAATTTATTTTATTATAAAATAAATTTAAATGAATGTCATATGGTTTCATTACAGTTCTTTAAAAAAATCGGAATCGGCAAAAATCGGAATCGGAATCGGCAGGTCCACACTTACTGTAAAATCGGAAATCGGAATCGGCCAAGAAATTTGCAATCGGTGCATCTCTACTATAAATATACCAAAATACCATGTCGTTGGATAGTAGAAATTTCAACTGATGAAAATATAAAGTAACATTTCAGATATGGGATATTTAGGTAATAGTGTTAACCGAAAAACTGGAAATACACGGAAATAGAACACTTAAAATGACTAGCAAAGATTTTTTTTTAGTCAACGTAATCATTAACACCAGGGTAATCTGTATCATGTCTCACAAAGTGGGATTTCTTGCTTAGCCGGATAACATGTCAGATGTAAGGTACTCCAGTTTCAAAGGATTATATCTTCGTTCACTTATATCTACCCCAGACTACCTTGCTAGTAAAAATTGAATTTTTGGACTATAGAGTCAATAATCATCGAAAAGCATTCAATCTATATACATACGAAAAAACAAAAAAGTGAAATTTAAATTGAACATGTTACCTTCATCGACCCCAAAAACTAAACGTTTCTAGCACTTAAGACTCACAGCGCCCTCCTGTGTTCTAAGACTAATGGAGCTATAGGTGTAGTTATAAAAACGCATTACAACAAAGTGTGTTGCACTTTCAGAAGCACCTCACGAATGAGATTTTGCATTGATTGCCTTAAATAGTCAATATAAAGTATGCCGAACTTAAAATACATTGCGATCCCTAAACTAATATATTGTCAATTGTGAGCTTTTATATTTCGATACTATGTCATTTTAACACAGACCAAATTCCCAATGCAGAAAGTGCTGTCTTTTTATACGTTTAAGGCTAGTATTCGGGCTGCTCCTTTAAAGAAAATCACGTAACGTAAAACAGTTTACCCCGTGCCTAAATCTAACAAACCCAAAACGCAACACGAAAAACTGTTCATTTCTAGGGCCTAATCTAAAGTGCGCTCAAAGTTAACCAACAAGATAAAATTCAGTAACCGATTTTTTTCTGCACCTTAGTTATGAAACAAATTAATATTTTATGCATGATCAATAGACGTAAACCTGTGAGAAAACATTATTCTTATATTCATGTCATAATTCAATTGTGAATTCGTACGAACCATTATCACTATTTATACATACACACACGAATACATTCAATAACACATATGTATTATTTAATGTATTCGACCTTATACAGGCCACATACGTAATGCAAAACATACAACAAACAGAAGCACTTATTTTAAGAAAATTATTCACATATTTATTAATCACATAATTTAAGAAAAAGAAAATCCATGTCTAAGAAACAGTGTCTAGAAAGGAATGTCTGGTAAGTGTTTTACAGCCTAATATTATGTTCAAATGAGACTTAAGTTTGGCCTGTTAAAACAATACTATTTTCAAATATAAAATTTAACACTATATCTGAAATTTGCTCTAAATTTAAAACCGATTACAAAGTAATCTGAGGACTGAAAACCATATAAACGTAGGCTTTCACTTCAGAAATTTTATTTAGAGATTGAAGTTTTAAAGTAAAATCAAATTTATCAAAACTTACCTGCAAAGATGGAGTCAATACCGCACAAAATGAATACAAAAAGCACGACTTTCTGCATGTTGCGCGAAATCGAGGATTTCTAGAGAAGAGAACGAAGGACACACACCACTTACAAATGCACTGGCTTCGTAGCGGGTTGCGGTTTTATCAGACCAAAAATGTCATTTTTTAAACCAATAGAAATCAAGAGAAGACCTGACATCAGAAATCACTAGGACGTTTCGGTATGAAGAGGTTTCTATTCGAAGCCCAAGTTTAAGCTCAAGATGTTCTGGGAAATTGAGTTCAGTACATTACAGGCAGCTTGGCGAATTATACGTACAGCTCTGGAAAAAATTAAGAGACCACTCCATATTTTTTTTTAAATCTGTATTTTTAAATCCTGGGTTAATCCTGGTTCTGCTGGCAGAAGGCTATACTACGAGGTATGCTGCTTGCTGGCTCAAAGTTTCTAAGACACAAGAACAAAGTGAAGCAGGGGACACTGGGAACGACCAGAGAGCCAGGTAGAGGACAGAGATGCTAGAGATGACTGCTAACTTATCCAGTGGTGGCTCATACATCAGAGGATGACCTCAATTGACCTTCAGAAAAAATGGGAAACATTAAGTGGTGTGAAGTGCACTGCTAGAAATGTTCGTATCAGGCCTCAAGCAGGACTGAAGTCCCATAAAACAAGGAAGAAGCCCTTCAACAGTGACAATAAGAGAAGAATCAGGCTGTGTATTTTGCACAGACGCACACACATAAATTGAGAAATGAATGAAACTGAAAATGTTGCTATTCTTTCAGAGCTGTACTGTATATGGGTGGTTATTTCAAAACAGTACAGAATTTTCAATACTTTCATGTATTTCCTGATTAAGTAGGGTGTTGTTATTATAATTGAATTTAGTAATGGGGAGGGTGGGGTGGAGAAGCCAATATTACAACACAGAAATGGTAGTCCACACCACTTAAGACAGTGCTTTTCAAAAGACGTCTTTCGTTTTACCATCTTTAACTGCTGAAAAGATGGCTGAACCACAGACTCACATGTCAATAGACGCAATTAACTGATATTTTTCATAAGTTAATATATATCTTTTAAAGATATACACAATTTTTCAAGAGAAATGTAGCTAAAGTATGTCTAAGAGTTGTGATGGACTGGAATCTGGTCTAGGATGAATACCAGGATTGTGCCTCTACTGCCTGCGATAGGCTCTATGCACTCTGTGTCCCTGAACAGGGTAAGCAGTTAGAGGATTTATGGATGGATGGAAGTTTAGATGGATTTCTGTGAACAGTGAAGATGGTGACAACACAATAACCAAGGCAGTAAAGCCCTGAGTGACACATAAGGCCTCAAAGTGACAAACAAACAGATACACACAGTGAAGAGGGACCTGCAGACATGTGAAATAAATGCATGTGGGCACAGTGAAACAGTGTGAAACAGTGACACACTGACATACATGCAGTGTAGGAAATATTCTGTAGCCTCAAATGCTTTCCAGTTAAACTGGGATCTGAAGACCCTATTTAATATGTGCATTTTTTTTATGTATTTGATAATGCGTATATATTTTTAATATACAATTTGTTTAATTTTATCATTAACATATGCTACTTGTGCTTTCCTGAATTTACAAAAGCAATGGTCAGTTAAACTAAATGAAGTTTAGCACATGTACTGAAAACAGTTCAACAGGACAGGTGTAGTTTTAGTGGCGAAGCACAATGGACACAAGTCACACAGTGGATTAAAGCGTATTAACCAGAGAAACTTAGGCAAAGACATTTAGTGCAAAGCATCTTGTGACTAAGTGAATTTGAGCTGGAAAGTCCCTGAAAGAAGTCAGGAAAAAAAACACAGAGCAGTAAGATATTTATGGTATCATAGCACCATCTAGAGCTGACAGTGCTCCTTCCCTCACTACAATTCTTCAGTTCGATTTCAGGGAAATCACGTGTGTACCTCTAACTGGCATCACTCACTGCCAGTATTATCAGGATAGCCCAGAAAATCCAGTGAGTACAGGCTATTGGCACATCAGTGCTTGACAGGCACAATGGATATTTTGTCGTTTCACAATTGGTAAAAAAGGTTAGTGCTGGTGTAGACTCTTCACAGCTACAGTGCTTTATATAGAAAATTATTTTTGTGACATATTGGGTGGGAAAGGAGGTGTGTACGGAGCGTGCAAAGTCCCAAGTTTTTTTTTTTTTCACACAAGATAATCAGGGTGTTGAGGATACCACAAAGAATGATGGCCCTGTAGCGGCCCAGAACTGGCTATACAGATATGGGCCACACCAGCAATAGGCCCAGTAATGGCCCAGATATGGTTTTCCACATTCAGGCCTTAACAGGCCACATATAGCCTGGTAATGGTCACTAACTCACTTTCTAGATTGGTGGTTGTCAGTCCTGTTCCTGGCGCCCCCCTGCCAGAATGTTTTCATTCCAACCCACACGGCTTTCAACCTGCGACATTCATTATTTGCCTATTAAGGACCATTTAAGCGTCATTATGGTAAGGCTGGAATGGAAATATTCGGGCCAGGAAAACATAAGAACATAAGAACATAAGAAATTTACAAACGAGAGGAGGCCATTCGGCCCATCAAGCTCGTTTGGGGAGAACTTAGCTAATAGCTCAGAGTTGTT